TAGCTGACTCCAAAGGAGACAGCCAGAGAGAGAGGCCTCTCGACGCGCTTGCATGGGGTGGGAAAAACTTTGCTTTGCATGTTTATTTTTCTGTGTGTATTATATCAAATGTTTAGGAATTAGAACTCTGAATGTTTTGCTATAATAAAGATTAGTTTATTTTAGTGATTTCCAAGCTTGCACATCTGCCTTTGGTACGGGGCGACACTCAGGAGACACACACGAACTGAGGGGGGAGTGTGGGTGACTTGGGTAAGCACGCTTTCACAGACAATGTGCAGACACACACCCACACCTCCAAAAATCTCACAACAAGGTGCAAGTGGAGGAGTGGGGAATCAAACCCGGTTCTCCTAGATTAGAGTCCGCACACTTAACCACTATACCAAACAGTGCTCTCTCTCAGGCAGCCGACTGCCAGCTATGCTGCCCTGACGTTTATGGGCAGGAGTGCATCTGCCTGACCTGTGTACCCACTGCTAGGCATTCCTTCCTTCTTTATTATCTCTCACCTTGTAGACTGCCTGTGTAGCGTCTTCCCATCAATTACCCATGGGATTAGTTTCGGTTCCCAGCTTTGGCTTTAACGGCCTGGGGCCCCATTCTCCCACGCATGGGAGTCAGGCCGACTGGCCTGGGGGTGGGGTTGGGGGTGCATACGAATTCCCTATATCCCATTATGCTTGTAGGAATGTAGCTATTCCTAACAGTGACAATGTTACTGCCTCTATAGCTCTGGCAATAAAGTATAACCTTATGACAAGGGTGTTCTCAGTTGTTTGGCTGTGGAACCCAACACTGACTGGATGACTATTTCTACTAGGTAGGCAGCAACTAACCATTTTGGACTAAGGAATATAAGAGAATTTGGGGTATTTTCAAGCTGGGTTTCCCCACCTCCCGTTCTCTTTGATATCTCTTAGCATGCACATGCACCCACACGGAGTGAATTTATGCTGAGTCAGTTCATGGGTCTGCCCAGGTCAGCTCAGCACTGCGTATTCTGGGTGACAGCAGCTCTCCAGGGTCTTTCACGTCACTTTTGACTTGACCCTTTAAACCAAGATGCCACGGATTGAATTTGGGACCCTCCGTAAGCCACAGCTCCGCCTGCATGCAGCTGTGCTGGTTGGGGGGGGGAAGGAGGAGTTTGGTAGACGGGCGCAGGGATTTTGAGCCAGGTCTTGTCTTGAGCGGGAGCTCGAGTGAAGTGAGCATCGGAATCTCACTTGAACTGAATCAACAGATGCTGACGGAGAGAAATAACAGTCACATCTTGTTAAAAAAAAAAATCTAGATGAAAAGATTTCCCGGATGAAGCCCAGATTAGGAGCCTAATGATGCTTTTCAGAACCAAAAACACCCCCCAATGACATCTTCCTGCTTGTCCAGAAACAAGTTTTTCCCCAGACTGCCTATTGTTCCTAACTGTGGTTGGTTTCATTCTATTAGTTATGGGTCACTAGTAAAGGAAGGGGAGAGGCAGCAGCTCTTTATATTTTCATATTTTCTGACCAACATTTGCTATAGTCTCTTTCTGGAGGGAAGCAACTGCTTCAGTTAAGGCTAGGTGTTTATGCTTAACCAGTCCTCTCCACTCGAAGTCTTTTCCCAAGTACAAATTCCCTGAACTGAACAGAGAATATTAGGCTAGTAATTGTGAAGTTAGTGTCCTTGCCAGATTTTTCAGGTTCAGTATCTGTTCCTTACCCATATGAAGAAGAGTCTTGCTGGTGTTCAGATTCAGATTGCTGGGGAACTTCCTGAAATTTGTGTTGTTGGCCTTCATTCTGTTGTCCTCCAGAACTACTGTTCTGCCTGCCTCCACTTCGGAGGGAAACTTCCTCAAATTTGTGTTGCTGTCTTGGATTCTGTCGTCCTGCACAACTTGTGTGGGAAGAAGCCATGTCGTGTTCGGAGGGAAATTCCCAGAGTTTGGCTTTTTCTCTAACAGTTGACTGTCTTCCACTGACATTCTTCTGCTTGTTTTCACTTGCATATAGATCTTCCTGGACCTTATGCTGTAGTCTGAAATCCAAATTCCCTGAGATAACACTTTCCACAGTGTCTCCTGCTAGAAAGAAACAAGAAAACAGTAAATCAGTCATGCTCTGTCCAATTCTTACAAGTTTGAGCGTATAACAAGCCTGTGTAGTCAGTACCGGTGGTCTGTGGCCATTGCAAAGACTGTTTCGTGCGACGATGCTGGAGCAGCAAATTCTGGTGCTCTGGGGGCAGGGAAAGGATTGCGGTGGGTCTAGGCAAAAGGGTAAGGGAAGGATGTTGAGAAAAAGATGGGCTCGACACCCTTCCAGCCTACGACCCATCCCGAAGGAGGTCAGCAGTGGGGCTAGGATGAAGAACCCCTTTCCGTCATTGGTGTTGTGTAATGCCAGGTCCATCAATAATAAAATGCTAGTCCTTCGGGACTTCGTTATGGAAGAGCAGGTGGACCTGGTGTGTATGACCGAGACCTGGGTGAGGGGTGGGGAGACAGTAGCTCTCTCCCAGCTTGCCCCAACTGGGTTCTCGGTCCTACACCAATCGCGGACCAAGGGGCGGGGGGGAGGAGTTGCGATGCTCATTTGGTAGGCTTACTCCATCAGCGCACTCCCCCCGCTGGAGATCGTGGGCATGGAGTGTGTCGGCCTGGTGCTGGGGTCCGTGGAGAGTTTGGTGATCTGGCTAATGTACCGATCACCTAACGCACTGGCCAGTAGCCTGCTGTCCCTGCTGGAGGCTGTATCAGGCTGGGCGCTGGAGCTCCCTAGGCTTTTGGTCTTGGGTGACTTCAACATCCATGCTGATGATGTGACCTCCAGCTGGGCTGCGGACCTAGTCCTGTCCATGGAGGCACCAGGACCCTCTCAATTTCTGTCGACCCCCACACACCAGGCTGGGCACACGCTTGATTTGATCTTCACAACGGACCAGATTACAGTGGACCAGATTACTGCAGTAGCCTTTGCCCCGAAGGCTCGTCTGAATGTCCCACCCCAACCCTGTTTAGGTGGCGAGCAGATTTTAGTTTGCCCGCGGAGCCAAATGGACCCAGTATGGCTTCAGATGGCTCTGCGGGATCTGATGCCCCCTGGCAGCTCATTGGATGAGCTTGTGGAGCACTGGCATGACCGACTCTCCACAGCCATCGATGATGCTCCCAGGCGCCCTCTGCGCTCTCACTCTAGGCTGGCCCCTTGGTATACCCAGGGGTTGCAGCTTCTGAAGCAAGAGTTAAGACGGCTAGAGAGACGGTGGCGGCGTGCTCACAACAAAGCATCAAGAACATCTTATAGGATGTTTATGAGAGCCTATGAGATGGCAGTCAAGGCTGCTAAGAGAGAGTTCTATGCAGCCGAGATTGCGTCTGCTAGCTCATGCCCATTTAGAACAATTCGGTCCTTGACAGCTCTACCACAAGGCAGACAAATTAGTAGGGAATTGGATATTGGCTGTGAGGCCTTTGCAAGCTATTTTGCAGATAAAGTCCTGACGTGCCACCATGACCTCCCAGCCACAATTGAAACAGTGAGTGAACTTGAGGCCCCTTGTGCGTCTCCACGGAGTTTAGAATGTTTTGAGCTGCTCAGTCTGGAGGAAGTTGACAGACTGCTCGTAACTGTGCGCCCAACCACATGCTGCCTGGATCTGTGCCCTTCCTGGCTCATCAAAGCGGGCCATGAGGGGTTTCGAGGTGCCATAAGGGAGATTATCAACAAGTCCCTCTCGGAGGGACGGTTCCCTGAGGCACTCAAGGAGGCGATGATCCGTCCTCTCCTGAAAAACCAACTCTAGACATGGCTGAATTGGCCAACTATCGGCTGGTGTCCACTTTGCCCTACTTGGGCAAATTGATTGAGAGGGCGGTGGCGACACAGCTTCAGCGCTTTCTGGGTGACGCTTCTGTCCTTGATCCATCTCAGTCTGGCTTTCGCCCAGGTCATGGGATGGAGATGGTGCTGGTTGCCCTTACTGACGACCTCCGGAGGCATCTGGATCGAGGCGGTGTGGCAGCACTGTTGTGGTTAGGACTGTCAGCCGCGTTTGATACGGTCGACCACCAGTTGCTGACCCACCGCCTCGCTGACATGGGGATACAGGGGCTCACTCTTCAATGGCTTGCCTCCTTTCTCAAAGGTTGGGGACAGAGGGTGGCGATAGGGGAGGAGCAGTCCTGGAGGTACCCACTTGAGTGTGGGGTGCCTCAGGGGGCAGTGCTTTCCCCAATGTTGTTTAACTTCTACATGTGCCCCCTCGCCCAGATTGCCAGGAGGTATGGGCTGGGTTGCCATCAACATGCAGATGACACCCAGCTCTATCTGATGTTGGGCTCTGACCCAGAAGATCTGACCTGGGCATTACAGGCAGTGGCTGAGTGGCTCAGGCTGAGCCGGCTGAAATGAAACCCAGAGAAGACGGAGGTCCTGTGCCTGAGTCAGAATGGATCGGGGTTAGGGATCCCTCTCCCGACCTTCGATGGTGTACCATTGGTGTTTGGGAGTGCACCTGGATTCCTCCCTGTCTATGGAGGGCCGGGTGGCAGCCACTGCCAGATCAGCATTTTATCATCTTAGGCTGGTTCGGCAGTTGGTCCCCTTCCTCAACCACGACAACCTGGCTACAGTAATCCATGCGACGGTCACCTCGAGGTTAGACTACTGTAATGCTCTCTACATGGGGATGCCTTTGGCGCAGATTCGGAGGCTGCAGCTGGTGCAGAATGCGGCGGCCAGGCTTATGTTGGGTCTCCCCAAGTGGGAGCACATACGGCCTTGGCTGGAAGTGCTGCACTGGCTGCCAATAGCATACCGAATCCATTTCAAAGTGCTGGTACTTGCCTTTAAAGCCCTACATGGCCAGGGTCCGACCTACCTGAGGGACCACCTTTCCCCACATATACCCCCAAGAGCACTTCAGTCAGGGACACAACATCGCCTGGTGATTGCAGGCCCCCGGGAGGCAAGGCTTGCTGCGACCAGGGCCAGATCCTTTTTGGTGGCAGCCCCTACCTGGTGGAACGAGCTCCTGGAGGAGTTCAGGGCCCCGCGGGACCCTATGCAGTTCTGCAGGGGAGCTCTTCCGCCAGGCTTTCGCATAAGGGCTGCCACTGCCACCATGACCAACACTGTGGATAACAACGGGGCTAGGGATGGCCCCAGGAAGACCGCTTATAACACCACATGGCACTGGTACCACCGGACTTACTTGGGACCAACTACAGGATAAGATCACCCCCAAAGCACTGACTGTTACCATCAAGAGATTTATTCGGGGACCATCTTGTCTTCATGGAGCACTTAATTTTTATCTGTGTTATTTAAGGTTTTATTGCTTTTACTATGTTTTATGTGGGCTCTGCCCCTTGTAAGCCACCTTGAGCCCGATTGCGGGGTGGGCGGGGTAAAAATGTCAAAAATAAATAAATAAATAAATAATTATAACCTTGTCCCACAGAGCATGAAACATGACCTATTCTTCCACAGCACCAAATTAGGTAGCTCTTACTTTGCAATCTTCCCATGCTCATTTCTACAAAATCTCTCTCTTGCATCTGGAGGGGTCAGCCTTAGACTGGGATTTTTCTGGTTTCTGACACTCTGTATATTGGGTGTTTGTGTATGTGTGTGTTACTGAATAAAGACCAGGTTTCTTTGAACCTGTCCTTGTGACATTTTCACAACAATAGGGAAGTACACCAGAACCAGAAATTGGATGAAGAATTGTGACTCTTTAGATTCAGAATTTTAAAAGTTCAAAATTTTAAACATTAGGAATATTAAAGCCATTTCCCATTAAAACAAGGTGAATTACTTTGTAAAGATTTTCCTCAGCCCACAACCTTTTCTCAGTGCTTGTGCAAATGCACAGCAAGAATCAAAATTGCTAGGCAGCTATGCCTGGGCATTGTGCCATGAGTGTAATCCAGACATTCGCAACCTTGAACACTGCAAGTATCACCAGGTCAGCACTCATCATGGCACAGCGGAGTGATGGGAGAGTGGGCTTGTAAACTTCATTTTTACCCCGCCTTTCTCCCCAGGGGGGACTCAAAACACCACCTTATACAATCCTCCTTTCCTCTGCAGTCCTTCTCCAGACTAGCTGATTGTGGAACAGTGGACAACTACCCCCGACAGTGCTGGGCACGGCACAGTCCTATTTGCGGAAAGGGAAGTTTAAGCAGGAGGCAGCAGCAAACTGAAGTTCAGCACGCAGTTTTATACGAGTGACTGGAGTTCCCATGCCGTTTATTGCTGCTGTCACCCCCCATCCCTGTCCCGTCACTTTTTTCCTATTGCACCTGTGCAAAAATGCAGACACATTGGCAGTTTCACTGGGTAACTCCACAGTCTGAAAACCTCTCCTTTCCCCCACACTTTACTTTTCCCTACCAAGCCACATTGTACCACTACAGCACAGCTTGGCAGGGATAGAGAAAACCCCTTTCAATGACTGAAGTGTGGGGGGGGGGGGGGATGCACATGGCAGCAAGGCACCTCACATGATTTTGAAAGCAGAGCTTTGCTTAATAATTGTGACAGAGTAAAAAGGTTTCCAGCCTCGCACATGTCAATAGTGGGAGCTTTCAGGAAATCAGAACCATTAAAAAAACAGCACTGCATGTGTCTTGATGTCGCTTCAAGCAAAAACCCAGAAGTGACCTCCCAGCCACCTGACAATGCTCTAGGAATGGCAGAGCTTATGGAGATTTGGGGAATCCCTAGATCATCACGGGGAGGCTGTTAAGTCCCTTCTGGGTTCTCCTCCACCCCATTTCCCTACTGCTGCCTGGAAGAAAACAGCGGGAGAGTGGCCATGATGGTGGGAGAATGCCCACCCCTCCCAGGTAAGTGGCAAGCCTATGGCAGAAGGGGTGCCTACACAGAGACTACCTTGCAGACAGGTGAATTGAGACAGGATTATTTTTAATCCATTTTAAAAAGGAAAGCTTTGGGAATGGCACAAGGGATGCTTGGAATTATCTGATGTGGGCTTTCTTCTGTAAGCAGGGGGTGGTGTTGTGGTTAAGAGCGGCAGACTCTAAGCTGGATAACTGGGTTCCATTCCCCACTTTCCCACTTGAAGCTAGCTGGGCGACTGGAAGCCCTCTTTTCACCCAACTTTATCTAAAGTCTCTCTGTGTTTCTACGTTTGTGTATCTGAGAGCCAGTTTGGTGTAGTGGTTAAGTGTACGGACTCTAATCTGGGAGGACCGGGTTTGATTCCCCACTCCTCCACTTGCACCTGCTGATGTGACCTTGGGTCAGTCGCAAGCTCTGGCACAGCTGTCCTTGAAAAAGAGCAGTTTCTGTCAAGAGCTCTCTCAGCCCCACCGACCTCACAGGGTGTCTGTTGTGGGGAGGGGAAGGGAAAGGAGTTTGTAAGCTGCTCTGAGACTCCAAGTGAAGGGCGGGGTATAAATCCAATCTCCAATCTCCTCCTCCTCCTCCTCCTCCTCCT